CTAACCTGACTTTTTCGGCTACCTAACCTAATCTATAAAGATAGGTTAGGTAAGGTAGGGTTGGTTAGGTTCGGTCATATATCTACGGTAATTTTAACTCCAATAAAAAAAAATTGACCTCATACATAACGAAATGGGTAGCTTTATCATTTCATAAGAAAAAAATTTGAGAAAATATAGTAATTCAGGAAAACTTGGCTTATTAGGCAAATCGGGCCTTGCATAGTAGGCTGAGAAGTACGTTCTGGCTACTAGGTACGACATATATATATATATATATATATATATATATATATATATATATATATATATATATATATATATATATATGTCGTACCTAGTAGCCAGAATGCACTTCTCAGCCTACTATTCAAGGCCCAATTTGCCTAATAAGCCAAGTTTTCATGAATTAATTGTTTTTCGACTACCTAACCTACCTAACCTAACCTAACTTTTTCGGCTGCCTAACCGAACCTAACCTATGAAGATAGTTAGGTTAGGTTAGGTAGGGTTGGCTAGGTTCGGTCATATATCAATGTTAATTTTAACTCCAATAAAAAAAAATTGACCTCATACATAATGAAATGGGTAGCTTTATCATTTCATATTAAAAAAATTAGAGAAAATATATTAATTTAGGAAAACTTCGCTTATTAGGCAAATCGGGCCTTGCATAATAGGCTGAAAAGTGCGTTCTGGCTACTAGGTACGACATTATATATATATATATATATATATATATATATATATATATATATATATATATATTTATTTCATATAAATTTAATTTAATTTATTTTATACACTGTATACATATATAAAGATAATTAGTTATCTTAACTGGGTTAAGGGACAGACTTTTTAGTGAGTGAAGTCCTGCACTGCCTTATGACTATGGTTGTATTAGCATGCTGCATGATAGCCTAGTCACCTCTGTAATTGGTCTGTTACCTGTTCCTGTCAACATTAAGTGTGCTGCATTGCCACAGGATTTGCCTGCATGTGATATCACATGCAACCAATTATGAGGTGAAGTCATTCCTAACAGAGAATAACACCATTCATTGCCTAAAGTTGACGAATTGTCAACGAATTCCGAGGAAAGGTCATCACCAAGTTAACGAGGTGTAGATGTATCTGAGCGAGTAGTGAGGCCAGCCAGTCCGTAAGTGTTAAAAGCTTTCTCTTTTGTGTTGTTACCTTGTGACTGATTCTTGGGAATCGACCACCTGATTAAGCGAGACTTCATCAGTGTCTGGAATGGACAGATGTCTGTTAACAAAGGTAATGTATTAACCTTGTCATGCCGATATCCTGAATTTACCTGAGGGCCACTAACACTAGTGGCCTCGACAAGGACAGGAAGTTTAACTAGGGGGAGGCCCCCTTTGACTAGGGGGGGCCTTGTCAAAGGCCTCCTCATTTGCCTTTATTTTTTCCAGTTGGATTTAAAAATTTAACAGTTTTGGCATTTAAGGCTTCAGCAGGTCAGCAGTTCCATGGGTTTATAACTGGGTGGATGAAAAAGCATCCCCTGTTCTCAATCCTACAGTGTGGCTTGAGCTTGAAACCATTGCTCATTGTTTGTGTTACATCTGACCTTTTAAATAAATTGTCCAAATCATCCTCCAAATTGTTCAGTATTCTAAAAGTTTCAATGAGATCCGCCCTGTCATGTCTCATGTATGGTTTGCAGTGTTGTTAGTCTTGTAGTCCTCAACCATTCCTGATAGAAGAGATGGCTTGACTCTGGAATTATTTTTGTTGCCCGGTGTTTACCTTTCGACAGAGCAGCTATGTCCTTCTGAAGATGAGGTCTCCATGCCTGGATACAGTAATCCAAATGTGTTAGTGAGACACTGCACCAGAGATTTACACAGTCGAACCATTACCTTCTTTTGCTTAAAGTCAAAGATACACTCGATTATTCTAAGGGTTTGGTTAGCTTTTTGACTGTTGCTCCTATCTATTGAGCAACTTTCAGTGAATAGTGGATTTTGACTCTAAGGTCCTTTACTTCATCTGCTGTAATGTAATGTAATGTAATTTGGTAGTTGTGGCATGGGTTGCTATGCTGTGGGATGATGATGTGACAAGTGTTGATTACTGTATCACACATTTAGGGCCATGTGTGAAAGACTTCCGTGTCACATTGCTTAAGTGTAGTTAAGTAATTATTTCACATTTGAATGGGGTATGTGTAACTTGATCTATATTAAGTATGTATTGATTTACTGTCTCAGGGTAGACATGAGTATTTTGACATACTAGCAAGTGGTCAATGAATCGGGTATATAAGTGATTATTTAGTGTCTTGGTAACCTATAATTGTCAGGCGTTGTGCATTCTCGGTGACTGATGTATCATTATTATGTACTTTGATAATCCACTTTCAGATATATAACTGTGCATTGCTTGCATTGTTGTGTGACAGTGTTGTTCAACTGTACAGTGAGGCACACACAATTATTCCTTGTTTTGCCAGTGCCAAGAGAGTAAT